CTGGCTGGATGGAAATGCCCAGCAGTTTCAGGGAAACAACATCCATGTGTACAGCGAGGCTAACTGTTTCCTCACCAATGACGGTATTGGGTACTATCCCCTCCAGGCTCCAGTGATGCAGAGCCAGTCACTGCTTTACCCCCAAAGCAACAATGTGGTGCATGAAATAGCAGGCTGGTTCCCTGTGGAGAACAACATGCTGGAGTGGCTGACAGAGGCAAAGGCATCCAAACCAATATGGGAAGAGACACATTGAAACAGCATGAAGGAGGCTCTGGAGATGGAAAGGCAAAGCCTGACCAGCGAGAGAGAGAGACTTTTCAGAGAGAGTGTGCTGAGGAAAGATATGCCTTTCAGGTGGAGAAGGACTACATGGAGAAGGAAAGAGAACGCTTCAACAAAGAACTCAGGGAGCAACTTATGGAGAGAAAGGCCTTTCAAGTCAAAAACAATGCTATGGCTTTTGACAGGAAGTCCTTCTAGATTGAACAGGAAGAGATGGCCATGATGAGGAAGGCCTACATCCATGAAAAGGCTGGCATCCAAAAAACAAGAGATGCTATTAAGTTCCAAAAACAAATGACATCAACCAAAAAGGCCACCACAAGCAGTACTGTCAACATCTCTGACGAATCCTCTTTCTGCTCCATCTCCGTTTGGGCCTGCAAAGACAAACAGGCCAACTACACCTTCTCCCAGTTGGTCTCTGAGTCCTTTTGGTCCTGCAAGGATGAACAGGGAAAACGCACATGGTCCCAGTTCAGCTCCGACTCAGTTTGGGCATGCAAAGACAAAGGGGGAAACTGCACCTGCTCCCAGTTGGTCTCCGTTTGGGCCTGTAAGGATGAACAGGGAAACAGCACCTGCTCCCAGTTGGTCTCCGTTTGGGCCTGTAAGGATGAACAGGGAAACAGCACCTGCTCCCAGTTGGTCTCCGTTTGGGCCTGTAAGGATGAACAGGGAAACTGCACCTGCTCCCAGTTGGTCTCCGTTTGGGCCTGTAAGGATGAACAGGGAAACTGCACCTGCTCCCAGTTGGTCTCCGTTTGGGCCTGTAAGGATGAACAGGGAAACTGCACCTGCTCCCAGTTGGTCTCCGTTTGGGACTGTAAGGATGAACAGGGAAACAGCACCTGCTCCCAGTTGGTCTCCGTTTGGGCCTGTAAGGATGAACAGGGAAACAGCACCTGCTCCCAGTTGGTCTCCGTTTGGGCCTGTAAGGATGAACAGGGAAACTGCACCTGCTCCCAGTTGGTCTCCGTTTGGGCCTGTAAGGATGAACAGGGAAACAGCACCTGCTCCCAGTTGGTCTCCGTTTGGGCCTGTAAGGATGAACAGGGAAACAGCACCTGCTCCCAGTTGGTCTCTGTTTGGGTCTGTAAGGATGAACAGGGAAACTGCACCTGCTCCCAGAAACGTGACAGTCCATTATGCGTGAGGAAACCATCTGAAATATTCGCATGGACACTAAAATGTTGTGCATAACTGTGTATGCCATTTATAACATCTATGTGCATACTTTGAATACAATTTTGCAATGTGTTTTCAGCAATGAATGTGTCATTTTTTGAGTCAGAAATAGAAATAGTAAGAAATATGTGTCAGTAAACTAAACGGAAAACTATTGAGACCCCTAGGAATTCAGAGCAGGGTGCAAACAAAGTTCTCAAACATAAACACCCTGATGTCATACAAATACTTTAAAACATTAAAACATCTTTATGCAGACACATGAGAGGAAACAAGGAAGTTGAGGGGATCTTAATGTGTGTGTAATTTGTCTTCAGTGGAATTGCCAACATGTTCACCACCACAAGCTCTGTCTAAATAGCTCACCTTAAAAAAGTCCCAAATCTCATAAATAACTTGTGTTTTCATAATGAGGAACGATGGAAAATAAATTAATACAGTTGACTTTTCAATCAATTAGAATGTAGTGTATGTATTTGTACTGACAAAATAGGAAATAAACGTTCAGTTGCTGATGTAACCAAGTCTTGTAATAGCATATCGAGCCTCTGGCAGCCTGACGGCTAAGTCTGTGTATGCCAAATCTCATATGCTCTTCATCTCTCTCTTCTGCTCCAGGCACTGTGTGCACATACAACATTGGTCATTATATTAAACCCTGCCTAATCTAGCAAAGGGTATTAGAGACGTACACAAGTACTCTTTTAACTACTACTGTCGTTGAGAGACTTTGACACCTGAGAGCTGCACAGGACTAACCCCGTCTTCAATTAATAAAGACTATGATCATCAAATGAATTCACTGAGCAAAGTTGTAGCGAACAAATTGTTTTAAAATGTTTGTCATTTGATTTTCCAAAAACACAAAATTCATAGGCTTTCTCCTTAAGCCTACAACTTTGCCAAAATAAGCCTGAGTTTTGACAAAATAATTTCAAACATAAGTAACAAATCACCTCCTTATAGAGCCTCCAATTTTCTATCTAAATAGTCCTGGCACATTCACTTGATGCTGCTCACCAGGCGGCTATGCAACATTAATCTCTTGCTACTCTAAAACAAGTGCATAAAAGCAGTTTCGAGACACAAGCAACACTTAAACTGCCATAATTGTAAAGCCAGTTCAGAGAGGTCACTGATGAGGCAGTCTTGGTAGAGTCTAACATGGAAGACGAACACATGAGAAAGGAGGAAGTTGGCAGAGGAGACTTCAGTTACCAGAGTGAAGTGGAAAGCTGCGCCAACAGCATTCACTCAAGTTCAGCGGGGACAATGGAGAAGCTGGAGAGTGGGGAGAGAAAGCAGTGGAGTTGAAAAGAAGTTGGGGACATGGAGATGATGAGAATCAAACTCATTACCATTGACCCCTGTGTACTCCCATTACCACAGCCACTTTAGTGAGTGGCTGCTGTTATATGCACTTGAAAGCCAAACTGCGCGGTACATGTGGAGGAAAGACACACTGGCTGATGAAAGTCGGACAGCATGGATGGAAAACCAGGGTGCACCATACTTTAGGTCCTCTAATAAACACTGTATATGTAGTTAAGGGTTTTTCACGATTGAGGCTTTTGAAATACCAGATTTGGGCTTTTTGCATAATCTTACTGCTTTTTGTTGAATATTATAAATCTTATTATCTTGATCTTTTGTAAATTACTGTTGTCTTTTTAAAGGTTAATCTACCACAATTAAAATAATTTATATGGATTTTGAATTGATATATTCAGTAGCAAATCTTTTACATTGTGTGAACTCTTGGGAAAATAAAACATTTTTTTACTAACGTCTCGCTGTATGTATGTCAGCAGTTATTACAATGCTTATTCATTCATGTTGTATTACATTCACAAAAAAAGCAATACCACTGTGCCCAACACACGCTCACTCCCTAAACGTCCAGGAGCGACGCTTGGTCAGGGTCCCGTGGCGTGCAGTTGGGCTCCTTCAGCTTCATAAACGGACGCAAAGAGCTTTCAACTGATTGCAATGTATTCCCATCAGCGGCGGTATTTGACGCTCATGGAAGCACCGCATCCGTTTATGTCGGCAGCTCTTAAAGGCAATGTGAGCGTCCATTCCCATTGGATAATGGAGAATTGTACACCCGGAAGTAAGTATTCTCCTTACTGTCGATTGATTTGACAGTGATATCTGCACTACTCATCGACTAAAAAACACCAGATTATCCTTGTTAATTAAACGACATTGATAGTTAGAGAATTTAGAGAACACAATTGTCATCTATATTTTTGACAAGATATGTAACTTTAATTTGTAAGGCACCATTTTCCATGCTTGTTGAAAAGAGATAACTATAGCGTGCTATAATTAAATGTACATAAGTGTTTCATGATTTAAAAATAAACAATTTTTCAAGGAGTGTTCTTCAAGCATTTGGACATGAAAACAACAAAAAACAGCCTGTACTTTAGATGGGGAGGCATAGGTTAAGCAAATCAGTAGATGTTTTCATACAAGCTTTCTGCACAATTGTGTCAAATATTTTATGATTGTCATTTTAAGCAGATGCTATCTAAAACATCACATGCTGTCTCCTCTTACTGCGATCCACACACTGAGAGCTAATCCCTCTCTTCCCGTCCCAGTATAGCATGATGGTCACTTGGCTTCTCAGTCTTAATTACATGTGAAACAATACCTTATTTTATTGTATCACTCCTTTCATCAACCCACTCCTTTCTTCCTTACTATATTTCCTATACCCTACTCTCCTATCCATCTCTCACAAATTCAGGCACACTCTTTGCACCCTTCTGTTCTTCTTGCAGGGATGAGGAAGTGACTTAGACTCTGGGATCTTAAGGATGTGGCTCCCAGTAGAGAGTAGATATAAAATGAAGATCATTCCACTGAAAAAAATAAGCCAAACTGCAAAGTGCTTAACGTGACAGGCCTGGCCCTTTCATACATTTAGGAACATGAGTCTCTGGTTGTTCAGAAGATGTTTTTCTTCCGTTTCAAATGTTACGAGCCGGGTAAACTTGAGAGCAGACTGCTCTAACTTCAAAGTGGTTTTGATAGATATTTAGAGAAATATTTCATCAGTGTTGATGCTTTTCTACTTCTGTTAAATTGCTGCTAGTTCAGCCATATATCAGATCTCTCTTATCTCCACTTTGCTGTCAGTGGCTGTGTTTTTATCATAACTTGATTTCAAGATGTTTTGGAAAACATTTCAGTTTCTGAACTGCATGTCCGGATGAATAATGAATATGTTCTTGGTGTGTATATTATTTTTGTAAGCATGGATTAGTAGATTATTTTGTATGTAAAAAAAACTGCAAACCCTAATTGCCTTTTTTCCTCTGTGAAATTATCCTCTTAATTTTCTATATGTTAGTGTATGTCTGATGTTCTCCTCTTCCAGCAGCTGTGAACACCGACGTTTCCTATTGGCTTAGCTACAGCCGTGGAAGGTGTGGTATAACATACTTGTTTCAAAGGATGTGTTTCAATATTTGTGTAATTCCCACCTGTAGCATGGAATGAAGATGTAACCAGTCAACTCAAAGGAATTAAACGAAAACTGTCATCGTGTCAAACTCAGAAACTTGTATTGTTCTCAATCTGAAGTTTAGGAGGAAGAGGATCAGTAACCGAGCTGTTAACAATCGAGACTTGGATTGATGAGAGGAAAAACCGCGAGACGCGCGCGCTTCCTCTCACAGATCATGGGCACCATGCGCTCCTCGCGGTGTGCGTAAACTGCTGTGGAGGATCCAAACAGTATGAGACGCCATGGCATGGTGTGACCGAGGGGTTCAGACTCTGCTGGCCATCGTGGGGGCCTTCGCCGCCTTCAGTCTCATGACCATCGCCATCGGCACCGACTACTGGCTTTACTCTCGGGCGTACATCTGCAACACCACAAATGCCACCGATGATTCCCCGATGCAAACCAAGAAAGTGAAAGGCGATCTGACGCACTCCGGGCTGTGGAGGATCTGCTGTATTGAAGGTAAACTGAAATTGTATATGCTTGTAACTGTAATTCCATGAACTTTTGGTCACTTTTTTGTTGTCTTCGCTGGGTCATATTGTTTCCAGCCTTCTGCTTTTTTACGGCGGGGAGGTGACAACGTTTCCAGGTTGATCAAACACTCGTTACATCTTCATTGAAAACGGGTTTAAACAAATGCTACATGTGGGAAAGCGAAATAAAAAATACTTGAAACGCCTTGCATTTTAAAAATTCCTGTTTGCTTGGTGTGACGAAGCACCATCAATTAAAGTCTGCCAAGGGGTACATCATCATTATTACTCATTTATTCTGTTGAATTCGTTAAATAGCATTAAAAAAGTGACTTGGGCATGATATTAAAAAGGAAAAATTGGAGGGAAACTGCTGCTTGTTGCGCGCAAAAGTAGTGTTGTGCGTGCGTAATGCTACGTTGGAGTCAATTTCCCTTGTAAATGAATTAGTTTGTCAATGAAAAATTGGACTCAATACACAGATCATGACTAATGAGAGGCATTTTTTGTGTTTTACACGTACATACATTTACGAGGAAGAGATATATTTTGTCCAGTAGGATAATAATGTAAGGCATGGTTGCTCGACAACCCTATAAAAACTAGACTTAAGAACTTTTCAGCAACAGAAGTTGTAAGAAACTGCCGTTCTTCTTGAAATCCTGTTAACATTTCCTCAGCTGTTGTGCTGCTTATCCATGATCCCCAGCACACACGCATGAGGGGTTTTGGGAGGGCTTCCTGCTCAGAGGTGTTGCCTGGACACGTTTGCACACCATTGCGCGCGACTGCTTCATTGGAGAAAAGCAGGGACGTGCACAGACATTTGGAGGGGCTATTGCTCTAAACTGGAAAAAGGGCCTTTTGAAAATTCTAACATAAACTCATAAAATAAAAACACAACACTGTCATTGCAAGTGACACTCAGTTGACTTTTATGTCCAACTGCTAAATTCGTTGCGGTCCATATCTCATTAAAATATCTAATGTTAGTAACTATTAAAGAAACAATGGGGACAATTCTGTTTTAATGTAGTTTTACCGTTGTTACTGCTGTGCAGACATAGGCTACTGATAACATAGGGCTTCTATAATTACCTTAAATAAACTCACTAATTAATTAAACCAGTTCAATACGCATTATTCTTATCATTCTTTATGAGCGTAGTAACGGTAAGGTATCTAATTACTTATTTATTTAGAATTCCATAACTTAATAACAGAGATGGTCAAGCTAAAGTGGAGACATGGCAGAAATCCTACAATGAAGCGGGACAGTGAAGTGTTCTCCGTGAGAGGGCGATCAAGAAAAGAGAGCGAGGTTGAGGGAGTTTACGGAGCAGAGTAAAAGACACCGAAAGACAGAAGCACAATAACAAGTATATTTAGGTGTTTTTTTTGTAAGTAACCGACGGTGTCAAGAGGAAGTAAAGTCCCCTGGTTTGTCCCCTATACTCTAACGGGCAGGAGTCAGGGCAGGCATTTGGTGTGATCACCATAGCCATATGAGGTTGGACTCGGAGGGCTTTCCTTTGCTTCCAGCTGTCAGATTGTAAACAAAGTCACGTGACTGGGGGCAGATGACAGCGCGGACAAGGTGTGTTTCCCGCAGCGAGACGCTACAATACTAATTGTGGGCTTATCATGTTGATTCGGCCACAATAGAAAACAAAAAAACTCTGGCTCTCTCCAGAGGGGCAGGTCAGGCAAAAATGGCAAAAGGGCCGTTGCCCGGGCAACATTAGCCGGTACCTGTGCACGTCCCTGGAGAAAAGTGAGATCAATGAGATCAGTCAGGTGATCCGTGAAAATAAGTCTTGCATCAGCCCCCTCTTTCCACTGCTGCTGAAACCTCCGCTTTGAATGATTTGTTTGTATCTGAAAACCCAGCAAAAATAAGGCAAACGTAGATAAATCTATATTTTTTGTATAAACAAATACAAAAATACTGTGTTCTACCAATAGGGTATTCTGTTTAACATTTAATTTTAATGAAAATGAAGGGGCTAATCATGGCACTGCTAACTAGTCAAGTATTATCTCTGTAATCTCAGGATTGTAAGCAGAATCAGCTTTTCCACACTTTCCTACAGGTGAAATATGGCATGTTTGTTACTGTTCATAATTGTTTTGCAACCAAATATTGGCTGCCTTTGTAATCAAACAGAAGTTGTGTTTTTCTCATGTACTGAATGCAGCCATTACAGAAGTCACACTCCATGCACTTTTAATCTGCACTGTTAAGGCTCTTGAGTTTTGAGATATCAAAGAGCATCACTATTATGGATTTCCTGTAAAGTTACTCAAAAGACATATTCCATGTCTCTCGCCTCCAACTCTTGAGAGTGTCATCACCAGAAGTGAGATGGAGTGCTCGCTGTTAAACATCTGCTGTCTGTTCCGCCATGCTCTTTCCCTCATATATTGTTGGATGTGTGTTACATGCAATACTTGCTGCTTCTCACACACACTAACGTTGAGTGGCACCTGTTTCGCTAAATGCATTTTTTGGATGTAAAAAGTTAGTGGAAAGTTATTTTTTGAGTTCCTGCTTACCTGGCATCTTCCTATTGTGGTTGACTGGTTTGCTTGTTTTGATTTTTGGAAAAAGTCTGAAAAATGGTTTAATAATTTGACTGTCCAGTAAAGAGGTATTCGCCTCCAGGAGCACAGAACAAGATGGAATCCAACCAGTTATATCAGGTCAAATGGACGGGATAAATAATGGATATGCCCGGGGACATGTTGGCTAACCTTGTAGAATAAATGGTCTCCCTAAAGTGCCAAATAGACGTCTGTTTGAGTGTTGTGTCTTGTAGAACAATGATGAGGTTCACTGGGGGTGATGGCAAATTAGCTTTTATGGAAACAAAGTGAAGTCTTGTTCTGCAGCCATTGATGCTGAAATGCGACAAGAACTCTCACTTAAGCTAATCATCCCTGATCGCTGAACACGCTGCAGTTGGACTAAAAGACATGACTTGTTTCAAACAGAAATTCGGTCTGACTTCAAATGGACAAATATGTGTGTGTGTGTGTGTGTGTGTGTGTGTGTGTGTGTGTGTGTGTGTGTGTGTGTGTGTGTGTGTGTGTGGGGGTGTGTGTGTGTGTGTGTGTGTGTGTGTGTGTGTGTGTGGTGAATGCATTAGAAAGATGTGAAAGGCTTCCTCTGAGAAGCGGAGCTAGAAATGTGATTTTGGGTTGCCGGGGAAGGTTGCCATGGTGAAGATATGCTGAGTAATAAAAGATGGGCTCTGGTCTCTCAGACAGATGGGCTCTGGAGATACCTCCCCTAGTGAGCCCTCTCTCTCTCTCTCTCTCTCTCTCTCTCTCTCTCTCTCTCTCTCTCTCTCTCTCTCTCTCTCATCTCTCTCTCTCTTCTCTCTCTCTTCTCTCTCTCAATGTTGGTGAGTGCACCTTTTTTCTAATTGTTAATCCTTTTTTCATGCAGAATGACTTATCTTCAAGAATCTTATGAGAATGTGAGAGTCACAGATTAAAGTGGTTCATATGCATGATTCTTGGTGGAGAAACTTACGACAATTACATCAATCGATCAATTAGTCGACAAATCTATTTGTTGTTTTGTCTGACTGCCTTTTGTTATGTTATGTTTGTTATGTTTGTTTATACTCCTGGGAGGTATACTACGAAGCAGGATTTTCGCTTAGCCGGCTAAATTCAGGGAAAACTCCGGCTTTCCGGTCCTACGAAGCTGGTTCTCTTTTTAGCAGGCTAGATCTCCATGGTAACTTATGCTTAGCGGCTAACCTGGTCGGGACCAGGTTAGGTTGCAGGCTAAGAGCTCAACTCAGTGAAAGCACTGCCTGCTGACCAATCAGAGCTCAGTGTGCGGAGTTTAAAGCGATCAAGTCATTTTACAGGAGAAAGGAAATACAGAAAAGCTGCCGTCGCAGGAAAGACGGCCGGCAAAAATCACCGACTGTGTGAACGTGAACATTAATAGAATATCACCTCCCATCTTCAGAGCAATCTGACTATTATAACATTAGCGTTAAGAAAGCTTAATTAAATATCTGCCACAACATAAGTAACCGGATCAGAGTAACATTAAGTACAGTCCGCGGCATATCACTTCATAATGTATCATATATCTCCTGATCTGAGTCAGCTGAGCCGTATCTGGCCGTGCAACACTCAGTGTCACATACTGTATGCAGAAGTATTATTTGAAGCAACACATTAAGTTGACGAAACACTCGAGACAAATGTAATGAAAGTCAGATCGTGTCTTAGACGGGGCAGTGATATCATAAACCTGTTAATGTACGCATTCAAACACTTTTTCTTTTGCCAGCTGTATTCACCTTGCAGGTGCAGCTATGTGGCTTTTATCCTGGATAAAGTGTTTAAGTCATGGATGTTTAAAGTTTAACTTCTTCATATGTCTAATATTATAGTTGACTTTTCATTCAGGAAGTATGACGCTGCGCTGTCAGTACGCTTCTCCATGTTTGTGATTGGTCGAATGCTCCAGATACCACCCCTTTCATGTGAACGCGCACCTAACTAGATAGGACACGGCTGGCTTGAGCGATCCACTTGATAACCCGCGTCGTAGTACCGTTTAGCGAGAGCGCGTTTTGGATTAGGCCAACCGGCTAACTCAAACATATCCAGGTTAGGTTGAACCAGCTTCGTAGTACAGGCCCCTGTTCTTCCTTGTAAAGCGACCTTGGGTATTATGAAAGGCGCTATAGAAATCCAAGTTATTATTATTATTATTATTAAATCGATTTAGTGTAAGTCCACATTTTCTTTTGTCAAGGACTACCCTTTTTTTACTTCCTGATTCTTTATCCTTTACCCTACATTTGTCACTCTTTTTTTCCAGGACATTTACAGATGCCGCAATAAGGAGAAAACCTCCAATAACACTTCTTACAAATGGGAAATACAAGCGAGATACACTCATACAGCAAGAACAAAGATTATATTTCAACTGAATGTGCTTCTGTATCGATC